ATGGGTTCAGTATGTCGGGGAACGGTACACCCATCTTGCGCTGTTAGGACGGCGTGTGGCACACTGCGATTGTCGTGGAGTGGGCGAACCAGAGCCCGAAGCCCAGCAAATGGGGCGTTCTACATGCTGATCCCGTTTGGGGCCCAAAAGGATCCAAAATGACATAGTGTAGAACAATTCTGTGTGCATCCAAGATGTCATAGTTTCAGCGTGTTTCGGCCGTGGATATGGGCACTTGTCACATCAACGCGGAACTCATGTTCCCGTATGTCGGTCAGAGAGCAACCGCCTGATGGGATCTCTCGAATCTACGCTTCAAAGTGTCCTAAGACTCTGCACGAATGCCTGTCATTTAGCCCTCAGGCGTGCATGAGCCTTACATTTGCTTCCTTCGCATGAGAAGGACACGTTGCCCGTCAGCTACCCATCTGAAACCCTATGCCCCAAATCTTATATTATACCCCAGAGACCGCCCCAAAGCCACCCCAAACTCAGGCTGTGAGATGTGGTACGGCGGAGAGGGTGGCCATATCTTTGTGTCGCCTCCTGGGCAGGGGACGCAGCGTTTCATGCGGTTTGCGGTTTAGGCTTGAGGGTTTAGAGCTCGTAGCGTTGAGGAACAGGTTCGGGGTGTCGGGTTTCAGAATGTTCCGCAAACGGCTTTAGCTGGCAGTTCTTGATTGCAGACGCTTGCGCGCGCCGCCTCGGCAGCCGGGCCGGCCCACATCCCAAGGCCCAGGAAATTCCAACAACCTTTCCCAACCAAATCCTTTGGAATTCTCACGGCGCTGTATTCTCTGACAGTTGCATGTTTTCGTTAGTCTCCCCTTGAGCGCACCCTGGATGCTGCAACGCCGGTCTGGGACTGGCAGCCTCATTGTTCTCCCATTTTGTCTCCCATTTCTCTTTCCTGCCCTGAAAGTTGTGCTGTCTGCGGCTGGTGGATTTGTCTCCTGGGATTGGTGGACTCTTTTGTCTTTCATCTCCCACCTTCTGTGACGTTTGGGACTAGGATTTCATTTGTCTCCCATTTGTCTCCCATTTAGTGAGCAGACGCCCATCTGGGCCTGGTGGATGTGTTCCCATTTATCCAAGAATTTGTTCCATTGTGTGACCAGACGCTGGATGCTGTGATTCCGTTTAGAAACCTCACCGATGAGGGGGCGCTGTATTTCTGGAACCTTTCCCATTCAGGTAGGGAGGACATGAGGAGTACTGGGACCCTTAATGAGCAAGATTAGATTCTCCTTATAGGATCCCCTATACTGTGAGAAGTAGGATCTTGCTGAATTTTCCCAGAGGAACACTACTCATTTGCTGCTGCTGCAGCCGTGCTAAGGCAAACTCCCTTCGGTGTGCCAGAGCAAAAGAAGCCACGACCTCAGGAGACTTCCCATCCAACAGCATGAAATCTACACACCCCTTACGTAGCACCCATATTGGACACCCCTATTCTGCCTTCTCTTTAGCTCTTTGGAGCCCTCACAAGGTTTAGGGTTGAGGGTTTGGACACTAAACCCTACACTCGTCAGTGCTGAGGTTCTTGGGCTGGACAAGCAAAACCCACGAGCAGATGCTCCTCTCGTTAGCGAGGCTTGTCTGGAACATTCCTTGGAATGTTCATTGTTTTATTGGGGCCGTGTACTAAACCCCCCAGAGGGTTCGCGGGCTAGGGTTTAAGTTCAAGGTCAGGCCAAATGAGGGTTCGTTGAAGTGGTCGTCTGGGGGCAGGGTTTTAAGTCTACAGTGTAGGGTCCCATATTCGGTCTTCCGTCTTCCGTTGGACCACGGTCCTTCGTGACTGGCCCAGTCCACCAGAAGCAGGGGCCTGAAAGTTTTGGTTGTTGTTTGCGTCAGAGCACGCAGAGCCTCTGTAGATTAGGTGTATACAGAGGTACCCGAAGCTCTAGACCTTCCTGGCTGCCCTTCTGGGCCAGGTATGAATCTTCTTGGGAGGGAAGCTATGATCTCCTGAGCGGGCCTCAGCACTCTGACGCCTCTGTAGATGGGCTTCTCCATGCTTGGGGTTATGGAGGGGGTAAAGAGGGACTTTAAGGATCTCGGATCTATGGTTCGCAGTTTCATGAGCCCCGTTTGGGGTTGCGGTAGTAGGGTGGAGACAGAAACGCCCATTGTTCTGTTGGACATGGAAACTGTGGCAGTGCTGGCAAGGCGGTGGAATTGCAACCACTTTTCAGACTGGGTGTCGCAGTGCCTCCTTCGGCGGCCGCTTGACAGGGCCATCAAGGAGCAAGCTCGCGAGGCGGCGTTGCAGTTTTTAGCACATGCTGCGTGGTTCTGAGAGCCTCCCTGGTGCTCAGTGGGAATGGCGGCCTAATGAAACCCTGAACCCACATCCTAGGCCTTACTATAGGGCCCATTCCCTGATATTGCCCTACGCAGCACCGGGGAGAAGCACAGGTGCTGAAAACCGTGCCGGCCCGCATCTGCCTGCGGATTGTCATCGCTGTGGACCACCTGTGTGACAGGCGCAGGTGCAAGCCCAGGGTGCTCTTTTAGGGCTGTCAAGGTACTTGCTTTAAAGGTCATAATACAGGCAGATAGAATCAGATAGAAGCTTCTTTTTGAAACCTGAATGCGTAGATTGTCAGGCTGCGTTTGTTTCCCCTAAGCCTGGTAGAAGCAACGAACCCGTTCCGACTCGAGACTAACCCACTGCAGCACTGCCGTGCGAAAGGGGCCTTCGTGTAAAACACAAGAGCGCACCATAGCGCACCACTCGCGAACGCTTCAGCGAAGTCGTTGGTCGCCTCTTCCACCCCAGACCCCAAGTTCTTTTCGCCGGAACCCTTCTGCGACGTATTCGGGAAAGCCCTACCCGAACCAAGCACTGAGCCCTGCACCCGAATTAACACAAAGCTCGGCGCACGAAACGAAGGACCCGAGTCCCCACCTAACCGAAAGCCCTGGAGTTGGCTGATGGGGATTTGGGGACCCTAAAGTCTGCACCCTTAGGGCCTTAGGGGTTAAGGTTCAAGCTTTGGGTTTCGTGTCTCCTGAAAACCAGGCAAGATGGGCAAGATGGGCAACCTGGATAGCTGCGCGAGGAGCTTCACGGCCGTGACCTTGAGTCAACAGCTTAAGCCCTCTAGACAAAGATTTGGGTTTAGGCGGTGGAGGCCAGCTTTATGAAAAAGGTTGCGAGTTGGTCGCCCGCAGCCCTTCAGGCCCTTGGGGGAACGTTTGGGTGTCAGGTCCTGAGCTTCCCCATAAAGACCTGTAAACCCCCTCCCGCGTGCAAGTGTGTCAAAACGGCTCAACAATGCTCAACAATGCTCTATACATCTTCTATACATCTTCTAGACATGTTAAGGATCCCTACGCTGCTGCCGCTGCCGCTCTGCTGGGAACCACTTGCGGACTTGCAGAAGGCACAGCCGGAGACGGCAACTTACGAGGGAATCGCCGCAGTCCGGACAGCCCAGGATCCCTTCCAAGGGCCCTTGAGGTAGCCAAAAGGCCCCAAACATGGATCTGAACACTCTCTCGAAGTTAGGAACCTCAATTATGGAACGTCTCCCTCAAGAGTCTGAGCAGTCAAAGCAGTCGGGCGCTTTTTTGGGTAACGTGGGAGGCCTTGGTGGTGCCGGAGCTGCGGGATGCAGATGAGGGCGAGGAGGGCTCCAGTGCGTCGCTGATCGTCATGCTGCGAGCTTCCGATACTTTCTGAGGCACGGCTCTGGTGGTTCGGACGGAAATTTCGATGATAAATGTGGGAAATGTACACTGGTGGTCGTCGGGCTTTCCATCTCGAGCCTCTACGGGAGTGGTGGGAGCGGTGGGAGCGGCGGGAGCGTGACATTTGACCACTTGGTGCTGCTGAACTGTGGGCATGGTCATTCTGGCCCATTCTCGTCGCTAGGGACCGTGGCCTCCAAGATTTGCTGGTCACGTTGCTTCACCTCCCGACTCTCTGAGAAAATGAAGCTGGTCCCGACTCTCTGAGAAAGTGAAGCTGGTAAGTAGGGACAGGCTTATGGCGTCAGGGCCATGTATAGGTTTGGGGTTGGGGGGATTTAGGACTTGAGGGGCATAGTGGTTCTCAGGTATCAGGGCTCGTGGGGCTTTGGGTGTGGGCGTTTGCTGTCAGGTTCGAGGGGTTTGAAGGGGGTTTAGGATTTAAAGTTTAAAGGTTTAGGGCCTGGGCGGTTCAGGGCTTGAGGGGTGTGGGTTTGAGGGGCTGAGGGGTCGAAAGCTTTTGAGTTTTAGGAGCTTGGGTGTTGAGGGGTGTAAGGGTTCAAGGGTAAGCTTAGGGGCTCAGCAGTGTAAAAAAACCGCAAATGTTCAGTTTACTTCAACCAGCGCTCCTTTCACCCCTTCTAACAGCTTTGGCCTGACAGAAGCAAATGCGGAGGGATCTGTCCAGACCATTTATAAACCTAGCCCGAATGTGGACGGTGGCACAGGGCATAGCCGTAGGCCGTGTTGTACTACACTTAGAAGAGAGAAGTGCGTGAAAATATAACGAGCGAATCGTGGGTGATCATTAAAGTCTTTTGTACGTGTGTTCGCTCCTTAGAAACCGGTCCAAAATAACAATCACCTTAAGATGTGCCAGATAGTTTAGGATCTCAAGAGGGGCTTGAGCAAGCAGACTTTGTGGTCTGCTTCTGGAGGGGTTTTCGGTTAAGGTTGTTTCATCTTCTGAGTGCCGGCCTCCGATCGACAATCCCAAAATCCCTGAGCCCCAAACCCATGACCTACACCCCCAAACTGCAGGCACCAAATAGTTCCCATTTCTAGAGAACACATAACATTTACAAGAGTCCTTGTGGAGTTCGCCACAAGAGTCGGAGCACAGTTCATCCCGAGCAGGTTCCGGGACTTTGGTTTGGGGGCGCCCCCTACTCTTTGGGATCCCTTAGTATCCTCCTGAATGGGTCGGGTTTAGGGTAAGATTGGGTTAAAGGGTTTAGGGTTTCACTTGCACAATAACGAACTCCTCCACTCATGGAGGGAAACCACTGAGTCCGGCTGCCATGGCTCCGTCCCCGGGGTGGCAGCGAAATCTGCTACTGCGTTTGGTCCTGCTTGCCGCGAGCTGTGGCCGCCTGGGGGCTGCTGGGGTGCCGGTGGGGTTTCGGGAGGTGGATGAAGACAGGCGCTTGTCACCAGATCTTGGGCCCGCCAACCGTCGTGCTCGACAGCTGTTGACCGCGCAGCTCAATGACAGGTGGGCTCTCCGTGCATTGCCGGCTCCTAGCTGCATGTTTGGCACTGGCTGCCAGGCTGTGCCCAGCTTTCCGCGCCGCAGGCTGCGGAGGCTGTTTGAGCGCCAACGGGCTAACTGGCATCGGCGCTCGCCGAGACTGCAAAGATGGGGTGGATGGCCGCTGAGGGCGCAGAGAGTGGGTGAAGCCTCTCATCCTGGTCCACCTGCCCCTGGCACTCCGCTGGGAGGGGAACGCCCATACCCTACTGGAGCCGCTCGCAGACGTGCCCGTCCTGAAAGTCCGCATGGTCATGACCCCATGCAAGTTGACGGTGGTGTTGCCGCTCAGGGTCGGGTTTACTGTCCTGTGCGGGGTTGCCCTTGCGGCGACTCTCGAGGCCAGGCTTTCCAGGGGTGGGCGAGTGTGGCTTGCATGCGGGCCCACATTGACTGCCATCTGGCTGGCACTTTGCAAGGGGAGGTGCCGGCTGAGTGGATGCAGGCCCAGAGGCGACAACGATGTCGCGTCTGTGGGCTCAGTGTTTCCGTCCGGCACGGGATCCACCCGACTTGCCACCCCGCAGCTCGCGCTGCGGCGGGCGATCAGCCCGACCAAGCCGGGGCCCCTGGCTTGCCGACGCTGGCAGACATACAGGCAGGTGGTACTCGTACTCTCCGGCACGTCCCACCCGCAGCCAGGTTCCTTTGGGGGCGGGTGTTTACCAGGGCCTTGGCGGAGGTTGTGGAGCACAACAACCTCCGTGCGTGGACCGAGCTTCTCATGCTGCCGCAGTGTGTGCTGGGGGCACCCGCTCGAGGTGGACGACGCCATCGCAAAGCCATTGCTGCTTACACGCTGGACAGGCTGCAGCGTTGGCTCGATGGAGAGCGCTCGGGTCTCTGGCATGACAAGCATGAGCTGCCTGGGCCTCGAGCCCGCAGCCTCACACCGGAGCAAAAGCGCGAGTTTGCTGTTGCCCTTGCCAGGGAGGGGTTCCACAAGAAGGCTTGCAACGCATTGCTCTCGTCCGGCCTGTGCCCTGACAACGCGGAAACCGCGAATGCTCTCCGGGCACTGCACCCTGCTCAGCCCGCTCCCGAGGTTAACTTCGATGGCTTACCCCTGGCCGCTGAAGTGGTGCCGGACGTGGTCGCTAAAGCCTTACGGCAACTACCTGCTGACACGGCCCCTGGCCCTTGCGGTTTGAGAGTTCAACACATTCGCGAAGCTGGGCCTCCTGGCGCTAGTCTTGGCATGCTGGAGCACCTTGCTGCTACTGTCGGCTTGCTCTCACAGGGCCGTGCCTGCCCACAAGTTGCGCCGGTGCTCGCCGGAGCCTCGCTGGTTGCTCTGCCTAAGCCGGGAGGGGGCGTTCGGCCCATAGCTGTGGGGGAGATACTGCGCCGGCTGACCAGCAAGTGCCTCATGATGATGGTGCGGGATGACGCCCGCCAGTACTTTGCTCCGGTGCAACTTGGAGTCGGGGTCCCTTCTGGAGCTGAAGCCGCCGTCCACACTGTCCGCGCCTGGCTCCAGCGCCATCATGCTACGGCTGGCCACGTTATGGTCAAGCTGGACTTTACCAACGCGTTCAATAATGTTGATCGCAGGGCCGTCTTGGAAGCCGTTGCAGCCGCATTCCCAGGCCTGGCACGCTGGACTGCTTGGTGCTACGGCCAGCCGGCACAGCTGCGTTTCGGGGCATCAACCACGTTGCAGTCCGCTGGCGGCGTGCAACAAGGTGACCCTCTGGGCCCACTGTTGTTCGCGACCGCTTTGCATCAATTGGCGCAGGAGCTGCGGACTGGGCTTGCACTGACCATCTTCTATCTTGACGATGGGATCATTGCGGGGGATATGGCGGCGGTAGGCGCTGCCGTTGCCCACCTGCAACAGCGTGGTGCGGCCCTGGGCCTTCAGCTCAACCTATCCAAGTCCGAGGTCATCGCTGTTGGCGACCTTGACCCAGATACCCTGGGTCGGCACCTTCCTGCTCAGCTCTTGCAGGCCCCTGATGGCTCGTCTAAAGTGCGTTGGAACTTTGAGCTTTTGGGGGCTGCGGTCGGCACCGAGGCCTTCGTTGCTGAGCACACTGCGGGCAGAGTTCAGAAAGCCGCGCCGCTCCTTGAAGCCTTGGCCGAGGTTGAGGACGCGCAGGTTGCCCTGCGACTGCTCAAACATTGTGCTGGCCACTGTCGCTTGGTGCATGGCTCCAGGTGTACCCCGCCACCTGGTCAGCTGGAGGCCCTCCGGCTCTTCGATGACATGGTGCGCAACTGCTTTTCCAGCTTCACTGGCCTGCATTTAAACGGCTGGCAGTGGCAGCAGGCTGCTCGGGGCTTAGCGCATGCCGGACTTGGCGTTCGCTCCGCTGCCGCGGACGCTTCGGCTGCTTACCTGGCCTCAGTTGGGGGCTGCCTTGACACCTGCCGTGCCATTGACCCTGAATATGCGCAGGCGGGTTTGGCTGTCGACCCAGCTGTGGTGCAGGCGGCGGCTGACCTTGGCGAGCCTGTGGCCCCGCACTTGGCGCTTGGCATGCGACAAAAGTCGCTTACTGCTGCCGCTGATGTGGCCTCCTGGCGCACACAGCTTGCTGGGGCCAGTGCGACTGCTCGGGCTCTTCTGCAATCCGAAGCCCAGCCTGGTGCGCGGGCGTTCCTTGCAGCAGTTCCCCGCGGAGCCAAGCGGATGGAAACGGCCACCTTTGTTGCGGAGATCCGTCAGCGCTTGCTGGTTCCGGACGCCCGGGAGGACACGTGGTGTCCACGATGTGATGGGGTCCTTGACAGCCTGTCTCTACACGCGGGCACATGCGTTGCTGGCGGAGAGAGGGTGCTTCGCCACAACGCTGTCCGAGACGTGCTCTGCCGTTGGGCGGACCAGGCAGGACTTCAACCTGAAAAGGAGCGACCTGGGTTGCTGCTTCCGCAGCAGCCGGGCGACTTGGGCGCGCTGGGCCGACGCCCCGCGGACGTCTACCTTCCCAGTTTGTTTGGTGCTCCGGCTGCGCTTGACATCGCCATTACGGCGCCTCAGCGGCCGGAGACACTTGCGCTTGCTGGTCAGGAGGCGTTGGCAGCTGCCGCGGCCTACAGACAGGTAAAGATGGACCACCTGCAGACCGCCCAGCTCTGCTCGGCGCAAGGGGTCCGCTTTGTCCCTATGGTGCTGGAAGCCACGGGAGCTTGGGAAACTTCGGCCGCAAAGATCCTCCTCCACATCTCGCGGGCGGTAGCCACGCGTACACAGACGGAGCCAGCGGTCGCACATGCCGAGCTATTGCAGGAACTCTGCGTGGCGGTAAGGGTGCACCGGGCTCGGGCGATTTTGCGCCGCCGTGCTGAGCTGGCGGCGGAGTAGTAACCTTGATCATGAGCGAGTGCATATCACTTGAGGGCGTGGGATGGCCTACTGACTTGAGCTGCGTTTGGGAGTACCCAGCGTAGGGAGGCTGGGTCGGTGGACGGGCATCGCTGCGTCTTCCGTCCGCGAGCTCGCTTTCGCCAAGTGGCCGGCGTGACCGAGCCAAAAGCGGCCTTTTGTCATGTCTGCGCTCGTAGTTGCATTCCCCGAGTGTTGGGTTGTCTTCGCACCGCCCTCAGAAGTAGGGTAGGTGTTCTCTCGAGGAGTTTCGCAAGGGCACACACGCCTGCGCTTGCCGGCGCCAAGGGTGCTTATGAGCATGTCTGCACATTTGAAGTGTTGCAGTCCCCTGGTGCTGTTTTGTCCTCGCGCCGCCCTCAGAAGTAGGGATGGCTTTGTAGTACATGTCGGACTTCATCTAAGGGACTTTGGACAGATGTCTTATTGTTTATCTGAAGGGTTTCAGGCTATTGGAAACTTAGTTGGGGCTGTACCCCTCCCCGTCCCCCTCACCCGGAGCTGTAGGTGGTTGATGGTGGTTGCGTTTAGGGTTGAGAGTCCAGGTTGTTGGGGTCGATCAGGGAACATGCTGCTTCAGGTCAAGCCACAGAGATCGGTGTAGGATGCGAGCAGAACCCAGCGGTCGTGCTACCAGTCTCGGTCATTCCATTCACTGTCTGGCCCTCCAGGATTATCTTGCTTTCCATCTCGCCCAACCGAGTCTCGGCAAACTTCCCGACAGCTTCGTCTTGATCTCTTCTGCTCTTGCCACGGGCCTCATGGGCCTCTTCATGCCACTTCGGAATTCTCAGTCGGCCGAAGCACGATCGATCAAGCCTACCGGTGCTGAAGGGTTTTGGTGGGGTGCTTAGTTCTCTCTGGTACCATGGCCTCCTTGTTTCATTTCTTTTTCAATCCGCTATTGCCCCATGCTGCCACCTGCTCGGGCCAACAAAGCCTTCTCCTGCGGAGAGGGCTTGGAGAGAGAAGTCGCCGGAGCGACGACACAGCTGAGGGGCATTGGTGGCATAACAGGCCGGCTCTTTTAGTTTTCTTCAGCTGCGCTGACATAGAGATGCGGCTCGAGCCCCCTGCTGTGACCAGCAGCTTCATGGTTGGGCGTTGTATTGGGCATGCAGCTCCTTTCAGTAAGGCAAAGAACGCCCGTTGCAGTTGTATCCTCCTCATCCTGAATTCCCATCTTGCGCGTCAAGTGCAGCTCGTAGCAGCCCCATGTTGACGACCTGGCTTGTCCGTGCTGCCCGCGGCTTCGGGAAATAACCTCCAAGGTGGCCGGGTGTTGATTGAAGCGTTTTTTCTCCAGGAATCTAAATAGTTAACTGGCTGTTGTTTTGTCTGTGGCTGGAGTGTGTCGTTTGAGGCGACGCAGGAGCGGTACGTTCTGGAATGAGGCATACACCAGCCCGTGAGTCAGACACTTAGCTCGATAGCACTTCGGACCAAGAACGACATGACTGTCACGCTTGGCGCTGCCAGGGGCGCTGCATGACCAAGCGTGTCCTCACCGCCTTCGAAGCTTCCTGGGGACGATGTCGAAGGCGTGTTGTATTATGTTGTGTTGTTGTACGCATCATGCAGCTGCATGTGCATCAACAATGCTTCGGGACTCCAATTGGTTCGTCGGTTCTTGTGTGGCCGGAGGCTGTTTCTGCTACTCTGCAGCGTTGTACCCGCGACGGGCCAGGTGACTGACGTTAACCAGTAGGCACACCCTAACTCAGCCACATTGACATTGAGGGCAGCGGTTTCTGTTCGGATCAGTAACCTGGCAGGCGGAGTGTTCTTCGATTTGATAGAGTCCTTTGCTTTGCGTGCCTTCATGTTTATGAAACTGGCCCAAACCGATGACGGGGGCCGACAACGGTGAAGAAGGACACGGAACCATACGTTAGTTGATCTTCCAGGACAGGTTGCCAGGACCCGTGGTCGTTCAGCCTTGCTGCCTGCCTTTTCGGAGGTTACCTCACGGACAGTCTTTGCCGTGCCCACCTCAGGGGCAGCATATCACTCCCTCAAAGCGGGACAGGAATCCCACAGAATCTCATCGAATTTCTGGCTTCGTCTGTTCAGTCCAAATCAACTAATGGCTTTAGCCACCGCGTGGGTTCAGCTTGCAGGTTGCTGTGAGCACCTTTTTTTCACCCCCTCGCATTTCTGAGACGAGGTGCAGTTTGACGTGTCTGTTGATCCAAATGCGCTCCGCACTCAGAAAGAGTTTGGCTGCCGAAGGTTTGCGCATGTTTCGCCATGCCGGAACATGTTGGAATTTCCAAGGGCCACGCCGCAAGAGTACTTCACTGCCCTGCAGGAGCTTTTCATGTGAGTCGTTCCTATAGCCGATAGCGGTGCTCCCTTGCTGTCTTCGAGCCGGATGTGTAGGAAGCTTTCGCTGACGCGGCCACTGTTTCAGGCCGCAAGCAGGTTGATCGATGTTGTACCCGGTGCGCATAATTGCGCAGAACAGACAGGTGCCACTGAAGTGCCAACAACGATGCGTGACGCCAGGTGGGGATGCTGGAGACGGCACAGGCTCGGGCGGCGACATCACAGGGGGTGGCATCGGTGGAATTGGTGGGCTTGGCTCGCAGTTCGTGTGCCTTGGACTCAAATGGATGGATGGTCTGTCTGGTCTCTGGTTCAGTGGCTTGCAGCGACACTGGGCCAGATGTCGGATGGGCAGTGTGCTTGCACGTGCCCGCAGATGTCAGACACGAAATCGCATCGCTTTTGGCTCAGTTGCTAGCAGGTCTCCAAGGCCCAAAGCAGGTCCTAATGGTCCTGACAGGCCTTTCTCCTAGTAGCCATGGCACCTCTTCCATCTCTTGGATGGGCTAACTTGGGCCTGGCTTTGCTGGCTTCGCTGGCTTCGCTGGCCACTGCTCGCACGGAGCCCCTGGAGCCCCTGATGAGACGTGTAGAGGCCTGCGAGAGTGCCTGCGAGAGTGCCTGCGAGAGTGCCTGCGAGGGCCTGTGAGGCGGTGTTGCCGGGGCCTTCAGTCTTTTTTTTTGTTTGCCTTTCTGTTTAGTTGGAGGTGGAGATCGGATCTGGAGGGCTTCTGGCTGACCCGTCCAGACATGGGCACAAGCATAGGAAAGAGTCTTGGCGTGACTTGTGAAGAAGTGGACTGCGAGGTTACAACCGAGCATGATGTCCCAAATCCAAGTGCCCAGGAACACCATCATCATAGGGGGAAGCGGCAGAAGCAACATGCGATCAGCCACCTCAAGGCCCAGATACTTGGGGACGCGTGTTGGAAGTATTGAGAATCTGTGTGAGCCTCCAGAATGTTCACACACGGCACGCGGGTTTCACAGGTCAACCAGGGCAAGGAAATTCCGAGCTGCGGCAACGACTACACCTGTGACGAGCGGACTAGGCCCCCGGCAAGCGCAAAGAAGCACCTGGCCATCTACACCTACAACATTGGGTCTTACGAGGTGCTGGGCCAAAGTTCTCTTGAAGTCTTAGACTCTTTAGACACGCGTCTGGGGCCCCTGACAGCGCTGTCCCCATAGGGATGGGTGTCGAATAGTTTGGCACTTTTCAGGCCTCCGCTGAGTGCTTTTTGGCTTGCCGAGGGTTCCTGACATGTCTTGACTACCTCAGGGCGGTATGCGACAGAAGAACGTGCCTTGCGTGCCCCAAAACATGGATGCCTTCCTTTTCCTCGACCATGATACCTGGGATCGTTCGGAGCAGACTTCTCTGGGCATCTGGAAGAAACGGTGGCCGCCCTAGTCCCTAGTCGCTTTTTGATGGTTCTGCAAGTCACTGCCTGTAAATGCACTTCAGGTAGATTCAAGAAGTGCCTCCCCTACCCGCTAGCACTTCGCGGAAACCTGTGCCAGGGGGTGGCAGATCAAGTCAATCTCTCTTCAAGCCGGCACTGAGTTTGTGACCGGGGCCAGGCGGGGGGCATCAATGTTAGATGCTGCGTGCCTGTAGGTTTCGTGATCCTACATTTGGTTTTGGGTGGGGCCCCTTGAACTGAGTCCACCTTTACTGGCTAACCTCCGTTGTCCGAGCCTGAAAGCCTCAATGCAAAAGTGGTTTCTATCCTGCGAACTTGGTTAGCACATTAAGCTCACACCACACCCAGGCACGTAAAAAGTTCCTCCTCGGGTGCAGTACTTCTGTTGCAGCTGACCCCGTATCAGTCAGTGTGTGTGTGTGTGTGTGCGCACACGTGCGTGCGCGTCTGTCGGTAGGCTTGTCAGCATAAATGAATCTGCGGGTATTGGTATACGCAAAAATCTTTTGTTGGCAGGTTGACATCAAAGCTGCTGAAATTCACGCCGCCGTCGTGGTCCCGGGCTGAAAAGGGGGGCTGTAGTTTTTGGTCTTTCCCTCCTTATGCCTTAAACCCTAATACTCATGCCCTGAACCCTGCTACCCAGAGGATGAAGCGACTCAGGCTGCTAAATGGGCAATGGGACTGGCTGGTGGAGTTTGACGGAAACGTGGTCCTCGACTTGCTGCGTGTTGGCCTTTCGGAGGGAAATTGCAGGGGCGGGAGGGGGGGAGGGTGAATGGGGTGAAACAAGCTGAAGCAAAACGAATTTGGAGCGAGGCGCTTTGCTTAGGTCTTTGAGTTACGTGTGAGAACTCTTCGGTCCGCAGAACAATCCTAGGCATCCTCCCTCTGTGCTTTGTGTTGTACAGCCGTTCAAGCCACTGAGGTCCTTTCCTGGAGAAATACTCGCTTAAGCCCTTGCTCCTTTTGGATTGGAGCTATCATGAGAGCTGCAGCGAAGATGGCTTTAGCTGCTTCAGCCATGAACTGAAATCAATGCTGCACAAGCGCCGGGAGTACATCGAGGAGCTTGCTGTTCTTCCTGCTTCGTCGTGTTTCTGTTACCGTAAGCACGGAAAGCTCTGTCTGGGAGGACTCCAAGGAAAACATTGTGGCGTGGGAGGCACCACGCTTGTTTTGGTTCGGTGATGTTCTGTGAAGCCGGCTTGTCCATGACACATGATATGTCAACCAGTGCAGTCTGCAAAGCAGTAGAAGCAGATGATATGCGCTTGAGGAGAGAGCCCTCTGAGCAAGATGCCCCCACATGCTTTTGAGTCTTTAAACTGCCTTGGCAGTATCCCTCGTAGCCAAAGCATCCTGAAGCCTAGCAGCGCTTCAAGAGATGCCAGAGATTCCAGACCTGAGCCGTAACTCCGCTCCGGTGACGATGGCTTCAGTACTTTAGTGCTTTTCTTCTGTTGCTTTCTGCTTTCTCCCCTGTTCTTTCTCCTCTGTCAGGACAAGCTGACCAGGGAGCACGAAGGCCAGAGGGCTATTGATGCGGAACCAAGAACAAACATGCGGGCGCATATTTTCAGAAACCTTCAGCCAGGCTCCGTTCCAGGCACGCGGAAGTATGCTCCGCCCTTCTACTACGAGACGCGGATCATCTTCAGGAACCTCCGCCATGCGAGGTGGGGGGGAAGATTTCGCTGTAAGCTCCGAAGCTTGTTGGAGACCCGAGGTCTGCCGATGTCTCGCAGGCCTTTGGCCGTACCTATGAGAAGTGCCACGAGATCCAGCGAGACCAGTTCCTGCTGCCCTATTACCTGTGGCATGCGAACCTGAGCTTTGACACTGAAGCCTTTCCAATGAGCTTTTTGGCAGACTCGGTCGGGATGTGCATGGTTGATACCCGAGAGGGCCGCAACTAGCGCAGATGCTCTGACCGCTGCCGCGAATGCTCCAAACTCACGCTCTTCGAAGAAGGACGGCTTCCATGCACCTACGGGCTAAGAGAAAAGATTGAAACTTAACTTTGTGGCCAACATGTGCAACCGGTTCTAGCTTGAAGTGCAAGCAGTGTAAGCCGAGGCCGCGTTTTGAGGAGGGCTCCTTCTTGGCACAGGTGGCCTTCACAGACAACTCGCTGACAGAGGCACAGAGCCATGTGCATATATATGCGTTTATGCGTTTATGCATCTAAACATCTGTGCATGTATCTGTATGCATATGTGTATGTTAGAAATATATGTGTATGTAGTATGTATATATGTAAATATGTCTATATACATATGTATTTATTATAAACATATATATATATATATGTGTATGTATGTATGTATGTATGTATGTATGTATGTATGTATGTATGTATGTATGTATGTATGTATGTATGTATGTATGTATGTATGTATGTATGTATGTATGTATGTATGTATGTATGTATGCGTGCATGCATGCATGCATGCATGCATGTATGTATGTATGTATGTATGTACAGAGCTTTCTGGACAGGGTCTCCTCTGAGGGCCTGCATTTTTCGAGTAGAGTGCTGTGTTCTTACATGTTTTAGGCAAATGTCATATAAATATTAAAATAATAATATATATATATATATATAGAAATATATCAACATAAATATAAATATAAATATAAAAAGTATATATATATATATATGTGTATATATATATGTATGGAAGTTAGAGGTCTTGCGGCGGGTGGAGGGATGGGGTGACCGGGAGGCAGTGACGATGAAAGCCGGGCACCCAGCAGTGCATTTGTTGCCACACATCTTCCGATGAAAATCTCCGGCCTTGGGCCATCCAAAAGTAGCAGAGGTGTGCGACATGGAGCCTTTCTGGGAGAAGGCAAAGCCCGCACCGGACAGTTTAGGCTTCGGTGTGGCGTTCCAGCAGATTTGTGGAAGACCTTGTGCCAGGGCCAGACGGTCTACGACCTACGGGAGTGCCGGCTGAGTCCAGTGCTGGCCTCACAAAGCTTGGTCTCAGACGCTTTGGCTGTTTTTGGCACTGTCAGGTGAAGTTAATCGTCTGGTCCTTGATCCCTGCAGTCACCCTGTCCTGTGGATCTTTAGGCGGGGCATCGGGGGCTGTTCGGGCACCACATTTGGGGGGCGAGGGCAGCCGGGCAGGTTTCTGGAGCTGGCAGCGGAACGTCCGCGGCCGCGGCAAGGCGTGCGAAGTCCTTGGGAGCAGTGCAAAAAGTCCTTGCATGTCCCCCAGACTTCATCGAAGTGTTTAAAGTGCTTCAAGGCCTCTAAGAGCTTTACGGGAAAGATCGGGAATGCATTCAGTTTGAAGTTTGAAAGTTTGGGCGCAGATTGTCCCATGCAGCGAACGTGCTGGGGAGGAGACCCAGATCGGGACCCTGGTGGGCATCGGCCAACTTCTCAGAGCTGCACTTTTGGGATAGCGGCGCAGCTACGGCTGGCATGGACTGGTCCAAACTCTGGGAACCAACATTCAGAAGCTGAAGCTTGTAACAATTGTAGCATATTCTTTGCAGTATGTGTTGCATGAGGTGTAGCTTTCCTCAGCGTGGGCTACGACTGGTTTTTCAGCTGGACACTTTGGAGGAAGCGAAGGGGCCTTCCTCCGTAGCATGCCGTGTCAGGATTTACCTCGATGACCAGTTTTGCTTGTTTCGTGCTTGCACGCATCCAGCATGCATTTTGTTTGTGTTCAGCTTGACTCTGAGATGTTGGAGCCAACGGTCCACGCAAGGCGCTGGCTCATGAGGAAGCACAAGACAAGGAACAGCCAAAAAGCCTCCATGTTTCCGAGCCAGCCGAACAATCGGCCATCAGCTGCCATCACGAACCCATCGAGCACTTTACCAAAAAGCCATTCGACCTTTCACCGAGCAAGTCTTTCATCAGCCTGACCTCACCTAAACAAGGCCTCAACAGGTAAAGTCGCGGTCTCCAACGTACATCAAGGCGCACTCTGGTGACCCGCTTTGGGGGACACCGCGCGCTGCGTTGTCTGGCTTCTTCGCCGAGCTGGGCAAAAGTCTCTTTGCGGTGCCTCCTGGTGTCGGTCGGGCGCCCAGTTGACAGGCATCGTGGCACTCTGTGGGCACCCCGACTTGGCATTTACAAAGGGAAAACCTCTCGTGTGCCTGTTTTGCAGCTAAACGGTGCTGCAGGAAGATGCAGGCTTTCGAGCACTTGCATTGTCTACTCAAAATCGAACTTCCGCTTCGAGCTGCGGGTCTAGGAATCTAGGCCAGGTCCCGAAATGCCCAAAACCCAGCTGCACCAGAATTGCGCCAAGGCGCGGATGCGCTGACGTGAAGGAGGCCGAGTTCGCACGACTTTGCACGACTTCGCACGAGTTCGCACGAGTTCTCACGAGTTCGAACAAGTTCGCTTGAGGCTCCGTTGGTCGGGTGTGTATAGGCCAAGCACTTCACAGATTGAAAGGCCACGTGACGAGGGCCCAAGAAGGGCCCGGCAAGGCGTGGTTGGGCACCGGAAATCCACTGAGCCTGGGAAGAATCTGTCAAAGAAGACATCCGTTCCTGCAGTGTTAATCTTCTCCCTTCTCCTCTTGGCTCTCTTAGCATGGGAAACGAGCTGCAACAAGCCTGAAGCTTGCTCTTGACTCGGAGGTCCTGCCTAGTTGTCCATGCGTGCGACTGCACTTGGTGTACCTTGGCCGACGCAGTTCAGTAAATTTCACATCAGGTGATGAAGGCACGATAGTGTGCTCTCAGGCTGTTCTGCTTGCCCTCCATCTCTCTCTCTTTCTCTCCATGTCTTTTTTCTTTCTTTCTCTTTCACAACAAGACAGCAAGTTGGCTGACTTTTCTCCAGCTTCTAAGCTGTGGCCACGAAAGTGCTACTCTCGTGCGCCCACGATGGTGCTGTTGAGGTTCGCCGTGCCAAGAAGCGGAAGACCGGACAAGTTCGCGGGAGCGTTTTAAATGCGAAGGCTGACAACAGCATGGCTCTCAGCATCTCTTAGAGGTGAAGACACTTGGAGCGAGTACTCCTGGCTGCAAGCCCCACTGGCTGCAAGCCCCACTGGCTGCAAGCCCCAAAATCGGGTTGCAGCGAGACCTCTCACAATCGAGAGAATTCAATCGAGAGTTTCCGGAAGAGGTGGCAGACCGCCGGGTGAGTTCGGTCTCCTGGAGGTTGGTGAAGCTTTGATTCTTTGCCTTAAAGCGCTGAAGACCTGAATCTGTCTGTACACTGGACATTCATGCGCCCTTGTGTGTTTAGTCGTCCATCTTGCCAGGCTGAATTCGCTGTGCTATTGCGACAAGCCTCTGGGGATCTCTCAGGCTGGAGAGCGCTCAGTGCGCATAAAGGAGGTTCGACTTTGGGTGCATCGCAGGCGTGGCAACTGGGAGCACGACAGCCTCGGCAGGCTCAACAAACCCTCAGCAGTGCCCAAGGGAGAGGCTGAGGCTGTGTTGTGGAAGGTGTTGCTTCTCGATCGGAAGAGCCATCAGAGAGGCAGCGGGGTATCGGTTTTGGAGCAACTTAGAGGCCATGACGGTACTGAGCTGGAAAATTTGGGTGCTTCGTGGGTCTTGGGGATCATCTCCAGTTCGTTTTTTGCATGGCCGCTTCGAAGGTAGGGTCCAGGCTACCATACCAAAAGCAGCATAGCAGCATACAGCTGCTTCCTATGTGATTTTGTAAAGAGTCTGTGAAGAAAGTTGAAGCTAACTTGGCCATTGTTTGAAAACAATCTCCGGCCTTCACCGTGTGATTACGCACATCAGACATCGAATGAGAATCTCCTCATGTTTTAATCCGGTTTGAATTACGATGTTCTTGCAACGGTTGCACACGATTGCAATCCAGACCTGCCATCGCCATCACTGGGGAATGCGGGCCTCCTTTTTGCAAACAGACGCCGCACAAAACCTGTTATACCGACATTTGCCGACTCACACAAGAATCGTACACCAGCTTGTGTGACGGACAGATTCTGCGGGCCCAGGCTCCATCCATGGAGAAGAAACTGGTAAGATCACGAATGTGCCTTCCCAATCATGAATCCTATGCGCTCCGAAGCGTGGCAGGTCATGCACCGAATCGACCTCCGAGGGTCCTGAAACTCCCGAAACAGTTGCGGCGCATCCGGTTTCAAGTGTCGAAGCTTACTGAGCATCGGCCCTTCAAAAAGCCCGAAACATCAGAAGGCATTCTGAAAGCCCAGTTTGTATCACCACCTCCTGCGGATCAATGCTGTTTGGCATGCCATGGAGACATGGACAGCGTTGGGAAACTCCAAAAAGAGTAGCACATGCAAGGGCCGCGCAGGGGCCGCGCATGCACAACTCATGCACAAGGGGAAGACATTCTCCGAAGCAGGGCACGTGAATGAAAGCATCCTAAGCTTGGACGTGTGTGCAGCTTTGGTTTTGTTTCCGACCCTGATGTGGAGGCTTCGTGTGTCTAGAGCCATCAATATCGATGACGATGAGGAGGAGCGGCTGACGACTCAGAGCCAAAAGTCAGTGAAAGATGACAATCGAGTGATGCCCTGATGTATGCCATGTCTAAGGCCCCGACGTGTGGCTGTGATCCACCCGCAGCAGCCTGCAAAAGCCTGGGCCTCGGAATGATTTCAGTGAGGCCCAGTGTGAGGAAAGCGTTGCTGCAAGTAGTTTGCGTTGCCAGCACTTCGGGAGGCAGTCTGGGACATCGGCATCTCCATCATGATCGTTTACTCGGCTGAACTGCCTTGTGCTTTAACTTTTCGGCTCGACTTTGATGTCAGAAGGGCTAAGGATTTGGGGTGGTGCATTGTAAGCTCGACATGGTGAATCTTCACGTGCTGATGGTGGTGGCGGTGGTGGTGCTGCAGCTGTCAGAAAGAGTTTGTTTCACCACCTCCGGCCGATCCTGGCAATCCTTTCGTGTTCATGCAAAACGGGGACACCATCAATGCAAGTGGTTCACTTTTGCCAGGTGTTGGTGGAGCCCTTTCGCATTTGCTTTGGTGTGGAGGTGTCTGGTGCCATGCTGGCAGTGCCCTCAAAGTGCCCCAAAGTGCCCCCGAAGCCCCAAGGCATGTGCTGCTCTCGTAGCAGCTGATTTCGTAGCTGCTAACGGTTTGGAGAGCCGCTGTCCACGTAAGCCTCTTCACTGGTGCGCGGCGTTGAGCGGCGTTGAGCGGCGTTGAGCGGACCCTGAGTGGGAGATGTACCAGCCGAGGCCACAGACGTCTTCGTGGATTGCTTGTTTGTGATAGACATTGTGCCCATCTCGGCTTGGTTTCTTGTCGCAGCAACTGCGAGAACATACAACGAATACCATCATACCAAGTTGTCCCTTGCTCGAGCTTCCAGCTGTTGTAGAGTGTAGAGGTGCTCACTTTCTTCACAGCATATCTCGACGAGCGGGAGGCTTCGGAGCTATGATCAGCCGTGTTGCGTGGGCTGAACATGTGATGATACATGATGCATGGGTATTTAGTCACATACAGGCGACAAATGTATTGCGCGTATTGCAGTCACAGGGTCTTTCAACAGATACCCCGACCTGTCCGGTCATGGATGTGCTTCGCTGCATTCGCTGCCAGGTGTTGGTGACAAATCGCTTGCGAATAGCAAAGCGTTACTTGAGAGGCTTCTTCGTAATTGATGCACCTGAGCTGCAAATTTTGACAGTCGCAGCACAGAATTTCCATTGCGCTCCGGAAGTCGCCATGATGCAGGTTAACAACTCTGCAAACCTCCGCCATTGTCCGAAGCCTGAAAAGATGGCTCAGGTAGCATCCGTTTTCCCGGCGGAGCTCTTTCTGCTGGCCATTCAGAACGGCCCTCACGTGAGGTTTTTGACGGGAAGCGCCCATTTTTTGCGGGGTGAGAGGGGTAGGGTAGGGTGTGAAGCTCGATAACCACTTGAGCTTGCCGTGCCCCTGCTGCGACCTGCTGTGCCCTGCTGTGACCTGCTGTGCCCTGCCGTGTTCCCTCATTGCCCCAGGCCTGACATTGCTACGCAAGCCCGCGCAGTGAAGCTGCTGAGGTTTCCGATCCGAGAACAGCTTTAGGTTTTCGTGACGACGGATCTTTTGCAACTGAGTTTGTGATGTATGAGTTGCTTTGTCATTGCTTGAGGGACAACTCTCCGTGCAACAGAGTAGCGCAAGATGAAGAAGGTGATTCGACCCCAAAGCTCCTTCACTGTCAGGCTCGTGCGGCTTATGAAGCTGGGGAGGCTCGTTCAGTGTCTGTGAGTGTTGTCATCTTTGCGCATCTTCTTGCATCAAGCGTCGCATGACACAGAACTTCACTCGGTGTCTCAGCCAGTGGGCTTCACGGCAGTCTCCTGCACCTTCGTTGACCGAGAGTAGTGTGAGCAGTGCAAAAGTTAGATGGGCTGACGTGAGGCTCTTCAAACTGAAGCGCCTGCCGGAACCTCAAGATGTTGTACCCTTTGGGTTTCGCTCATAATTAGAGTACACGGTGTGTGTGTGTGTGTGTTGTGTGTCTCTGTGTGTGTGTGTGTGTGTTGTGTGTGTTGTGTGTGTGTGTGTGTGTGTGTGTTGTGTGTCTCTGTGTGTGTGTGTGTGTGTGTGTTGTGTGTGTGTGTGTGTGTGTGTGTTGTGT